TCATTTAATTGTCTGAAGGGCCCTGCAGGGCGGGGGGGGGGGGGGCCAGGACCCCCGGGGCTGGCCCTACCAGTTGGGCATGTGATGTCAAGCAGCTCACTGCACGCTCCTCTGTCCCTGTCTCTCCACACGGGGGTGGGGGACTCCTGACACCAGAATGCCCGGACAGGTGAAGGCGGGGGCTGGGCCGGCACTTGTCCTCAGGGGGACAGGCTGTGGGGCTCTCACGCTGCTGCCCCTCCCCCTCCCCTGGGGTCCAGAGCACTGGCTTGGTGGTGACAGTGAGAGAGGAAAAGGGGCCTGTCATAAAGGTGGTGATGGGGGGCCTCCGCGGGCCCCGAAGGGAAAGGGTTCGGAGTAAGATCCACCTCCCCCACCAGCAACATGTGTGGGGGACAGCACGGAGCCTGGCGTGCAGCAGAGCGCCCGTGCTCTCCAGGCAGGCAGTGTGCGTGGCCAGGCCAGGAAGAAGGTTCCGGTCCTGCCGCCCCCACAGGGGACAAAGGAGAATCCAAGAAAGGTAGGAAGAACCCAAAGTCACTTGGTCCAGCCACCTGATTTGCCAGATGGGGAAACAGAGGCCCGGGACGGGGGGTCAGTCACACATGGAGGTCGGCTGTCTGTGTACCCCGTGCCGCAGGCCTGCTGAGGCCCTCCCTTCCACGCGCCCCCCCTCAGCCCACGGCCCCACCGCACACTGGGACCACCTTCTGGAAGAGGGAAATCTGTGGCCAGGCAAAGGGAAGGCATGCTCTGGGCCTCAGGCTCCAGAGAACAGAAAGCTAACTGCTGAGCCGCTCGAAGCAGCTGGAGGGCTCAGGCGTGCCCGCTGAGACGGGAGTGTGGAAGTGACAGAATCGGTCTAGCCACGTCTTACACAGACACGCACGTGCTCACACACTGGCTCTTCATCCACAGCCTGAAGAACTTCATGTTCCAGGACTGAACCTCCTTTTCTGGGCTCGGGGCGCCCCTGGAGAGTATGCCCACAATAAATCCTTCATCCGGCAGCTTTTTGAGGAAGCGCAGCGTGCAGCCTCCACCAGAGACGAAGAGGCTGGCGAGTGAGCTGTGTGGGTAAGAGCTGCCTCTGGGGCCACGGGAAGGGCAGTGTAGCCAAGAGCAGATGCCCATTCACACTGAGTCCCAGTGAGAATTTGGGCAAGTCATTTACTCTCCCTGCATTGCATTGCATCCCTAAAAAATGGGAACGAAGGATACCTTCTCCCCGCTTGAAGACAGCTGATCAAATGACCGCAAAGTGCTTTGTGTTCTCGAATCCAAGGGCCCCATTTGATTCAATAAAGGAATAAAGCCAAGGACTTTGGGCTTAGAGGCCCCCAAGCGCCAGCCTCTTACCCAGGGAGACCAGTGTCTCCTGGTTCCTTTTCCTGTGCTTGCGGGGCCCCTTCTGCTGGTCTTCCAGGCGCCACTCCTGCCCTGAGAGACACACGGCCGCGTCTTCAATAGTCAGGGACGCCTGGAAGTACCGGTCGCCCACGCCAGTGTGAGTTACCGCCACTTTAGAGAACCGTTAAAACTAGCTCCAGGCTCCTCTCCCTACCCCCAAGCCAGAGGGCATCGCTGGCCAAACCACTGGACAAACACCATCTCATCTCCATCACATCTGCTTCGGATAAGAGCAGGGACCCGTGACTAAAAGGATTTGGGACCCGGGCACCTGGGTGCTCGTCCCCTCTCCTAGGGTCACACATATCTTCCTTCTATGGTTTTCCCTACCTGAGGCAGACCTCATCCTCAGAGGTCATTCTGGAGCAGCCAGCATAACTATACCCCTCCCAACAAGCCCCACGCCATCTGCCACAGCAGACATCTCTGCGGTGTCACACTTTTCTTCTGAGGCCTTTCAAGCCCTTTCACGTCAACTGGTGACTGGCATTAAGAGCCAACAGGTCAAGCACTGGCTTGGTTCCCTCCATTATGAGGCTGAGGACCCTGTTGAAGGAAAGCAAGCCCTCTCCAAATTCCTGTACCTGGGGACTTCCCCCTTGCTGCTCGGCGGCAGCTGCAGGATCCAGAAGTTTGTTTCTCAGCAGGTTCTCCATGTTCTCCAGCCGCCTCTACAGCAGCCTGTACTCCCCAGCATGGCCCACTTGCCCTCCAGCAAGTTTGGTTCCCAAACTCCACAGCCGTCTTCTCGCAGTTGGCCAGCTTCTTCTCAGCTGCCTCTGTCTGCCTCTCCAAGCTTTGAAGTTGGCAGCTGTGGGACTCCACCATCTCCACAATTGGAGCAGCAGTTAAGATGGCCAGAAGGGAGACCTCTGAAGACTGGATCTGGGCCTCTCATTGGAGGCCAGTCCCCATATGCCAGTCCTGAAACTAGACGCAAGGAGGCGAGTCAGCCACCACGAGAGCAGTGCTAGTGCCATTCCCAGCCACAGGAATGCCAGAGTTCTTTGGAATGGGGAGAACTTGTTCTGGGTGCTGGAGGACCTCACTGGTCAGACCCCCAAACAGACCCAAGCTGGCCGACTTTCAGAGACAGCACACACCGGACACCACAAAGCCCCCATGGGAAGAATCTTGAACCAAGACCCAGGGGCAATGGAAAACGAAATAACAAAGCATTACCATCATAAATGGACAGACTGTAATCGATTCGAATCACAGATCTGACACATAATAGTGATATTAGCTTAGCCACTTACTTAACCAAACTTTTTTTTCTGCATCTGGGAACACAGCCCAGCAGAAGCCAGGAAGTAAGTGAGAAATCCAGGTCCAGGAAACTTCCCAGGGGATTAATGCACACTCAGAATGCTATTTCAGTCATTGAACATTCTAGAGCAAACCCACGCCCGTTACTTAGGACTCAGAGGTAAGGCTCTGTTGTTCTGGCGTTGGTATCTCTAAGGCCCTTCCACCCTGACTTTCCCTGGCATGTGACCTACTGACCCGCCTGGGAGATTAGGTCCCAGTGACCCAGGTGCCTTGTTGACTGGCCTGAGTGCCCTCCACACTAGGAGGCCAGGTCCTAGCTTCTAGGAAATGGAGCTAGAGAAAGGTGAAAGCCAGCACTTAAGAGTAGTTAGAACAAGGACATCTTTCAAAAAATATCCTGTGTGGGCATGGAATCTTTATCATGTATTACTAGAAGTGATAAAATAAGAAAGTCAGGAATGGCTCAGTAGAAACAGTTAAGGTATAATAGAAACATTCTTGGGGTGTCTGGATGGCTCGGTTGGTTAAGCATCCAACTTCGGCTCAGGTCATGATCTCACGGTTCGTGGGTATGAGCCCCATGTCTGGGTACAGTACTAACAGCTCAGAGCCTGGAGCTTGCTTTGCATTCTGTGTCTCCCTCTCTCTCTGCCCCTCCCCAACTCACTCTGTGTCTCTCTCAATCTCTCTCAAAAATAAATATTTAAAAATTTAAAAAAAAAATTCTTGAAAATGGAACTCTATGAACTTGACTCAGTACCTCTCCTGCCATTTGAATCCTGCAAGTTCGGGGGTTTGTGTGAGGATGAAGTGCACTAAAGGTGTGGAACATCACTCAGCGTGCATTACTTGCCTTGGCCCGTGTTCTATTACTGCAACAGACATAAAGGCAGTGGGCCAACAATGAGAATGCATTAGGAACCAAAGACTGATTAGTCCACTCCTGTGTGACTGACGTTCCTCCCATGACCTTCTCCAAAAAGCACTTAGCAAAACATCCAACACATACTGGGTACTGATTATCAGACATCAGTACTTCCTTCTCTCACAGCCTAATGGTTCCGTCTCTGAGTCTGGCTTCTGGTCAGTACAAAGTGTAGCCTGCAGCAGGCAGATCCAACCTTCACAGATTAAGGATGAACATTTTAAATTCCTGTAATACCCTGTCACAAATGTGAAATCCAGGAATGTTTCTAAAACCATTTCCAAGCTCTTTCTACCAGGGGATGACGCCTCTGCCATCAGAAACATAGAAAAAGCTCATCTTGACAGCTCTTCTCACAGAGGCCAGGGGCAGACTAAGTCAAATCTGAGCCGAAATACACAGAACCAAAATTCCCCTATAATGCAGACCCCCTCCGCGCCGCAGTAGGAAGGACTTCTTGAGGAATTTCAGAAAACAGGAAGGAGGCACTCAAGTGCGTCCTCACTGAAGTCAGAGTTCAGGCCTAGAGTTTTAGGGGACCCTTCAAGTGAGGTGCAGAACTGTGCCACAGGAGAAAGGCGAGGGTCTAGACTGGCGTGAAAATAACCGCCCGAGACAACAGCAACCGGTCTCAGCATGGAGAAGAGGGGTGACGATGGGGTGATGGTCTCCCTATGGTGTCAGTGTTGGAGACGGGGCGGATGGGCTGAAGGACAGGTCGAAAAAGGAGAGCCCTGGAGGGTGTCTCCCGTGAGGATGTTCACGGTCCATCCGCCCAACACTCTGACCTACAGAGCTGGGGCCACCAAACGTCAGGGCTGGCGGGAACCTCGGAAATCTTGTGGCTACGTCCATGGACTAGTAAAGCGGAGCCCAGAAAGGAGAGGGTACTTTACCCTCGACCTCAGACTGCTCCCCTTGGCCGCTGCGGCCTCAAGCGTCCCGGTCGTCATCCCTCCACTCAAGCTGAGCCTCCCCAATTCTAGGACATCCTCGGAGAAGGCCTCCCGTAACCCGCCCAGGCCTCCTTGCGCGAAGCGCGCGGTACGTGCCTGCCCAGGCCCGTGGCTGCCGCAGCATCGCTGCGGCGCCACCAGGCGGCGCCCCTCGCCCTGTGCGGGACCCGCCCCGCGGCCCGGAGCCCGCTCTTCATTGGCCAGCCCGGGAAGCCCCGCCCCCCGCCCGCGGGCGGCCTGTCTCCGCGGCGGGCAGCCGGCCCAGGAGGCCCCGCCCCCGAGGCGGACGCCCAGGCTGGGCGGGCCCGGCGTCAAGTGCGCGAACGCAGCCCCCGGCCCCCGGCGGCCAGTGCGCGAGGCGCGCGCCAGGCGGGCGGACGGAGGCGCGGTAGGGCTGATTCCCGGAGAGCAGGAAGCGGGTCAGACGCAAGCACTCGTTGAGTCCCACATATTTATTGAGCACCGATGAAGGCAAAGGGCCGCCCCCGTCACAGTTCTGAAGGGCCTTTAGCACCAGGACCCCACCCGTCCTTGTTTACAAAGGAGGAAGCCCAGACCCAGAGACCCAGAGCTCGGAGGGGGTTTGAGACCAGCCAAGCGCTAGTCTCCAGGGCGCTGGAGCACCGTTCTGCCCCTGCACCACGCACCATCCGTTGACTCGTTTCAGTGTAAGGAATGTTCTTTGAACACGCACTGAGGTCCAGGAAAACTCCCCAGGCCTAGCTGGGCACCCGGCACTCTGCACCCGCCGGAGTACCTGTATCTTACACAGGGCTTTCAGCATTAGAGAGGCCTAGGAACTCTGAGCCTTGAGGCGTCCCCAGGAAACACCCGAGGCAAGCTCTGGGCGCTGAGGGGTAGGCTCGGAGCAGCTCCATCTGCACCATATCCCGTCAAGAGCCCAGCCCTGATCTGTGGGGGCCCTGGTTGGGGGTGTCAGACCAGACAAGCAAGAACGGGTGGCACCTCTTCTTCCGAAGCCCGGCGGAGTGTGGCTGAGCTCGCACAGACTTGTACAGTCACTCTTGCCTCACAGGTCATGGCAGTGTTCCCATCTGCCCCCAACGCTGTTCATGACTTTGGGAGACGCGTGAGGGTCAGAGGGGGTCATAAGGGCACCGGGAAGCAGGCCTGAATGCTGGCCACTGCACGTAGTGCCCGAAGAATAAGACAACCATCAGAACAGCTAAGGACCCATGACTCCAGTTTGAAGGTCACCCAAACCAAGGGCTGGTCTCTAAGTAGCACCCACAGTGATGTCATTAAAGAGGCACAAGATGCTGGCTGCCCTCAAGGCGTTTCCAGGAGGCCTGATAACTATTGTTTGAACTTCCATGGCTTGAACCTCGTTGCTTTGGTTAAGAATTTGTTCCCCTGAAATACAAAGGGCTCATAAGGGATGTAGCCTGATGGAAAAGTCATACCTCACTCTGCACCCAAGGGACCTTCCACTCACTCCAGAAAATAAAGGGATTCTGGCTGGGAGAAAGGACTGCAATGGAACAGAGAGAGGGCCTCAAACTCGCAGGACAAAACCAAGCTTCCTATTTGCCCCATTGCCTCTAAGTCTTTTATGACCCTGAAAATGCTAAGGTGAGGTAGGATGCGCTGGGGTCAGTACCCCCTCTGACAGGTGAGGGACACGAGGCTGGAAGTGGTTGAGAAAAATTCACCCCGATCTGGCCTTTCTCTGCTACCAGCCCCAGGTTCTCGGAAACACATCCCTCTTTTAATGTGACAAGTCAGGCCCGGCGGCCCATGCCAGGTTAACTGACCAGCCTCGGGATCTTCCTGTCGGGGGAAAAGCCTCCTATGACTGAGTCTGCACCCCTCCCCTCAAATGGCCCCCCTACCACCACCAAGGAGCGTGCGTCCCCATTAACACTGAGACCTTGGGGGAGGCATCACCCACTCCTGACTTGCTTCCTCAACTAATAACCAAAATCAATCATGGATGTTGGAATGCTGGGAATCGCATACCTGGGAAGGCACCCAGTTTCCAGGGCGGCAGCTAAGGCGTCCCTGCCAGCGTCCAGGCTGATGCGGACCCGGCCGTCCCCACATGCAGAGCTGGCAGAAGAATCCATGCCCCTCGGGGCTCCTGGTCCCCTTTGCAACCACACACAATACTTACAAAAGCACTAGAAAAGCTCCATAAGGGGAGGGGGCGGTGGTGGAGATTTCACAATAACAAAGAAGGAAATTCACATTTCCAGTGCCTACTCTTCAAACTGTTCACTCCGCTGTGACAAACCACGGGCCCTCGGTGTCCCCACGGCCCCTACTGCACCGGCCACCGTCTCCAGTCCTGCTGCCTGTCTCCCGTACCTGCCAAAGGCTCTCACCCACACTGGGCATCCTCTTCACCTTCAAGGATCCTTAATAAGTCAGGAATGTCGAAAAGGCAGCAAAGAGTGACAAACTTAGGAAACGGGAAACTGAGGCATCTGGTCACACACACTCACACAGTCGCCAAAAAGGCCGCCACTTCCCGTCTGACTGAAAAAAAAAAATCTCTCCAAAGCTTCCCAGAATGAGGAACCAGCGTCAGGCACGAGGGGAAAGGCCTGCGGGTGGACGGAGGTCCCGCGGGGAGAGCCCAGGAGGGCCGAAGGGGCCCCGCGCCGCCCCCGCGGGCTCCCGCCGGGTCAGCCCTCCTCAGTTAGGCCGGGCCCGGGCGGGGGCGAGCTCCCGGGGAGGGCGGGGGCGGCGGGGCAGTGCGGGCCCGCCTGGCCCCGGGCGTGAGTCTGCATGTGCACAGCCAGGTGGTGGTTGCGGTTGAAGGCCCGGCCGCACTGGGGGCACTGGTACGGCCGTTCGCCCGTGTGGATGCGCTGGTGCCGGAAGAGGTCGGAGGGCCGGCGGAAGGCCTTGCCGCAGTAGTGACAGGAGGGCCAGCCTTGGCTGTCGCCCGTGTGCAGGCGCTGGTGCAGCAGCAGGCTCTTGCGCTGCTGGAAGAAGCGCAGACACTCGCTGCAGTGGTACACCTTGGCTGCCGGCCTGCGCCCCACGAAGGGCCGGCCTGCCAGGGAGCGGCGCCCCCCGGGATCCTCGGGCAGCCAGCGGATGACGGGGCCGGGCACCACCACCTCTCCCGGCTCCAGCGTGGAGTGCTCCTCCCCCCAGGCGGTGGGCGAGCTCCCCGGAGCCTCCCGGTGCTCCTCCTCCACGTGGCTCCGCTGGTGGATGGTCAGGTTAATCTTCAGGCGGAAACTCTGCCCGCAGTCGGGGCAGGGGAAGGCTCGCTCCCGCCGTCGAGGGAGGATGCGGGGCGGCTCCCCGGCCACCCCTCCCGGCCGCGGGTCCCCCGCCCGCACCCGTGGCACTCCGGCGGCATGAAGGCGGCCAGGGCCCCCAGGCCTGCTCCTGGGCCTTTTGGGCATTCTACACACGGTCTGGCTCCGGGGCTCCCCCAGGAAGAGCTGCGCGGGCATCATCTCGTCCTCCGATTGTGCTTCTGTCTTGACGACCACGCCGCCACCACCTGGGGAAGGGAATCTCCACTGACTTCAAGTGGGCCACGCTGGCCCCCACCCAGGCCACTTGACCCAGTCCCTGCCTCCAGGCACATCCCTGGCCACATCTGCACCTGCCTTGATGGAGTCCCTTCTCCCCCAGGAGCTCAGGGCACAGATCGGAGACTGTTCCCTCGCAAGCAGGCCCTGCCTCCTAACATCTTTCAGTCTGTTTACTGTCACACAGCCCGGAGGCTCCGATGGCCCATCCCGGGAGGCCAAGCTAAGGACATCAGGGGAGAGGAGACAAAGCCGCAAAACCAGGACCTGAGAGGTCAGATGGAGTCAAAGACAACAGGCAGGTAGGTATGGGGGAGACCTTGGACCCTGAGATACATTGGCCACGCCGGGTCCCCAAGAGTTCTGACAACTTGAGTTCCCATCTACGAATGACAGTGAGCCGTTCGGCCGCCAGACAAGGCAAGAAGCCTCAGGCCTCCAAGTGGTGGGTATCTTAGCCAGACCCTGAGCTACCCATAATGAATCTTCACTGAGCAACTCCCACCTGCCTGCCACCATGTTCTACAGCGACAGGCAGCAGTCCCGGCTGGGCCTCAGCGTGGGTCACGCTGGGCTCTGAGGTGGGACTAACATAGGCTGCAGAGCAGAGAGAGATGGGAGGTCTGAAGCGGCACGGGGTCAGCAACAGCCCTCAGGGGTCCCTGGTGCTGGGAAGGAAGGTTCCGGCCACAGGCCCTGGGGGAACACCACATTCTGCCAGTTCCCCTCTGAGCTTCTCTGGAATCAGCACCAACTCCTGGCTTCTCGGACCTCCCCCCAGAGCCCGGGTGCTCAGCTGAGGCAGCACATGGTCTGCTCAGAGGCTGACAGCAAACCTTACCCTATGCCTATTAAGACGAAACCTTTAACCCTTACCGAGCAACTTCCAAGGTCTAGGACAAGAGGGATTTCTATTCTTGCTGAAGTGTGCACTTCACCCACAGCCCCACAGGGTGCAGTGAACTCTTAACTGCAGACCGTCCTGATGTTAGGACCTTGCAGGTCCCTGCTCACTGCAGCTTCCTGGGGACCCTCACAGATGATTCTGGACAGACTTTATTTCTATACTCGAAATGGCCCAACTGGGGGTCTCAGGTCCTATTTCCTGGGAAGGCCAAGGGTCCCAGATGTCCTGGCTTGAAGCCCATGCCCAGCTTGGACTCCCACCATGACACCAGCCCGAGGTGGGCCCAAATCTCACCTCTGCTCCCACCAAAGCAGGTACTAGGATGGACCCGGGTGAGAACCGGATCCCTTTCTATTAGGACAGAACCCCCTCCACCACCACCACCAAAAGCCAGAATGGGCAACAATTGCTCTTTTTTCCTGCTCATCAGGTTGTAAGCCTGGTTTTATGGACTCCAGGTGAGGGAATGGAATTTAAGTCACATACAAACTGCGAGGCTTTGCAGGCTGTGAGCCCGGACCACTCCCAGGGCTGCTGTGAGGCCTTTCTGTCACCAGACCGCGGGCCCGGTGCACACAGCTTGCTTTCAAGCAGCACCTTTCCACCAGGCCACACGTGAGTGGGGGAAACCAGGACCTACACGGTCTGGGTCACCGGGCACCAGTCCCGGGAACGATGAAGGGACCCCCTCCAGGAGGAAGCTCCTCACCAGGTCCCACTTTGCCACCTCCCACCCCACTCCCAAGGGCCCCCAAGATCCTCCGAGGCTCTGTTGTGGCCACAGGGCCTCCTCCCTTCACTCACCTGGCCCCCTGCTGGGCAGGCTGTCCGTGGGAGGGGGGGCTGGAGACTCCCCACCTGAAGAGTCTTCCTCCTGTTTAACCGAGGCTGGTGTCCCTGTGAGAGAGATTCTGTGAGGGCCTTTCCCGCCGCCAGGCTCTTGCGGGACAGCACAGGCATCTCTAAGCAGCCCCCAGACGTGTTTGAACGTCTGCCAGGAAGAGGGGGCTCCAGGGCTCTGTCCAGAGAACCGCCCGCCGCACCGGGGTACCGCCCGCCGCACTGGGGAACCTCCTGCCGCACCGGGGGACTGCCCCCCGCACCGGGGGACCGCCAACTGCACGGCCTCCGCATCAGAGGTGAGAGGAGGGCTGTGAAGGCCAGGCCCCCAGTTCCCTCTGGGCCAGTGTGGACAACTCCCTGTCACCCAGGTGCGCCTCAAAAGGACACGTGCGGGGAGGCCCCTGGGGCACACTGCCAGGCCTGCGATGGGACAAGGACACTGGCTGGGAAGGAGGGACTCGGGGGAGGGAGGGAGTGTCACCTCCAGCCTCAGCGAGCTCATCTCACCGGGGAGGGTCACAGAAATAACTGGAGAGAAAGCGACCTGCCTGAAGAGTCAGGCCCCTGGGAAGGAGGGGGAAGGGGGGCAGGAGCTAGCGAAGCGCAGTCTGGAGGCAGAGAACGAGGCTCCGGGTTATGCTAAATGCCTTCTGATACTCCATTCCTGGGAACGGATGGACAGAAATTCCCTCTAAACACAAGCAGGAAGAGACCTCGGGGCGGGGGGGGGGGGGGGGGGGGAGAGAGAGAGAGAGAGAGAGAGAGAGAGAGAGAGAGAGAGAGTGTGTGTGTGTGTGTGTGTGTGTGTGTGTGTGTGTGTGAAGGTGCAGAGCCCCTCACAGGCCTCCAGAAAGAGGACGTCTATGGAGAAACGCACATGCCGGGGCTGTCCCAGGCGTGTGACATAGGTCGCCCGGTTCGTGTGACCAGTGTGGGAGGCCCAGCACCTGCCCTCGTGTGCCCTTCCCACGCCCCAGCCAGGCCTTGGGGACCTAGGCCTGTGCTCACACCACCTTCTCCTGCTGAAAATGCCCTTGGTTCCCAGCCCAAATCTACTCTTCCTCCAAGGCCTGTCTCAGGGGTCCCTTTTCCAGGCAGCCAGGTCCCCGCCACCCCTCCCACCCTCCGGCTTTAGCACGTGTCCTCACACTGCCTGTGTGGGACTGCGGTGGAGGCACTGTCCACACCGCTGCCCGGCGGCCCCCACTCACCGGTGCTCGCTCCCGCCATGGCTGCCCCTGCTTCTGAGTCTTGCTGGTGCTTGGGGGCCTGCCCTTCGGTTGGCTCGTCCTGGGTGGGGCTGATGGGGCTGTGGATGTGCTCTGGGTGTGGAGGGAGGCCTGGAGAACGCAAATCAGGGATGCTAAGGACAACGCAGGGGTGCCCCGGGCGGCGGGAGCCTCTGAGGAATGGCTACCTGCAGTCCCTGGGACTGGGGGGGGGGGGGGGGGGCATCAGGTCAAACCCACGTTATGGTATTGCAGGGGACTTCACGGACCATTAGTGGCTAAAAGACAAGCAAAAGAGACAGCACAGTAACTTATGCGATAGTACCAGACGGGCCACAACACAGCAGGGCCAAGGACTTGGCTTTTTGGCAACTCCCAGCTCAGAACAGCACAACAGTGGCTCCCAATCACGCGTCCTAGAGCAGGCTGATGTAGAAGGACCCCCTTAGAAGCACCCCAAGACACTCATCACTATGACTCCAGGGTAGGCCTAGGAAGTATGCATTTTTAAAAAAGCTTCCAGGGCAAAAGACATGAACAAAGAGTTCGTGGGATAAGAATTTTAAATGGCCCATAAAAAAATAAAGATACTCAACCGCACTCATATCAGAGAGGTACCATTAAAAATACACCGTTGCACAGGGTGCCTGGGTGGCTCAGTCAGTTAAGCGTCCAACATCCAACCTCGACTCAAGTCATGAGCTTGTGGTTTGTGAGTTCCAGCCCTGACGGAACTGTGCGGATAGCTCAGAGCCTGGAGCCTGCTTCAGATTCTGCGTCTCCCTCTCTCTCTGCCCCTCCCCCACTCGTGCTCTGTCTCTCTCTCTCTCTCAAAAATAAACATTAAAAAAATTAAATACGCTGTTGCCAAAGCCAAATTCTACAAGAAAACTACAGACCAATATCTCTTATGAACACTGATGCAAAAATCCTCAACAAATTACTAGCAAATCAAAATCAGCAGATTAAACACCATGACCAGTGGAGTTTATTCCTGGAATGCAGGGTTGGTTCAACATATGAAACTAGATCAGTGGAATACACCATATTAACACCCCATGATCATCTCAATTGATGCTGAAAAAGCATCTGGCAAAATTAAACACTCTTGCATGGTAAAACCACTCAACAGACTACACATAGAAAGAAATTATCTCAGGGCACCTGGGTGGCTCAGTCGATTAAGCATCTCACTCCTGATCTCAGTTCAGATCAAAATCTCACGGTTTGGTGAGATCAAGGCCCACATCGGGCTCTGCACTGACAGCATGGAGCCTGCTTGGGATTCTCTCTCTGCTTCTCTGCCACTCATGCTCATGTGCTCTCTCTCTCTCAAATAAATAAAAACAACAACAAAAACTATCTCAACATAATAAAAGCCATATATGAAAAATCCACAGTACCACCATATTCAATGGTCAAAGAATGAAAGTGAATTTTCCCCTAAGATTAGGAACAAGGCAAAGATGTCTATTTTTTACCACCTATTCAACAAAGTACTGGAAATTCTAACCAGAGCAAGTAAGCAAGAAAAAGAAATAAAAAACACCCAAATTGCAAAGGAAAAAGTAAAATTATCTGTTCACAGATGATATATGCAGAAAACCCTAAAGATTCCACAAAAAAGACTGTAAGAACCACAAATGAATTCAACAAATTAGCAGGACAAAAGTCAATATACAAAAATCAGCTGCATTTCTATGCACTAAGAAACAAACTATTTGAAAAGGCAATTACAAAAACAATTCCACTTAACAACAGTATCAAAAAGAATGAAACACTCAAGGAATAACTTAACCAAGGAAGTGAAAGATTTTTACAATGAAAACTACGAAACACTGCAGACAGAGGGGCGCCTGGGTGGCTTAGTCATGTAAGCCCTGACTTGGGTTTCAGTGCAGGTCGTGATCTCACAGTTTGTGAGTTCGAGCTCCATGCGGGGATCTGCACTGACACCACAGCCTGCTTGGGATTCTCTCTTTCCCTCTCTCTGCCCCTCCCAGGCTCACTTGTGCTCTCTCTCTCAAAATACATACATACACACACACACACATACATACATAAAATAAACATTAAAAAAACACTGCAGTAAGAAATTAAAGGCAGACATAAGTGTAAACATTTCATGTTCGTGGAAGGGAAGACTTAATATTATGGTGTCAATACTATCAAGGGACCTCAAATAGCAAAAATAATATTGAGAAGGAAGAACAAATTTGAAAGACTTCCTGATCTCAAAACTTATTATGCAGCCACAGAAATCAATCCCAAATGTGGAAGTACTGACACAAAACAGAATAAATAAACAGAGAACAAAGACATAAACCTTCATATATGTGGTCAAAAGATATTTGAGAAGGGTCCCAAGACCACTCAATGGGGAAAGGACTTTTTAACAAATGGCGCTGGGGAAATTGCACATCCACACGCAGAAGAATAAAGTTGGATCCTTATCTAATTCCATCTACAAAAATTAGCTCAAGATGAATCAAAGATCTAAATATAAGACGTGAAATATAAAACTGTCAGAAGAAAACATAGGACAAAAGCTTCAGGACATTGGATTTGGCAATGATTCCTTGGATATGACACCAAAGGCACAGGTAATAAGAGAAAAAAGTAGACAAATAGGGCTTCCTGAAAACTTTTTAAATATGTACATTGAAACATACTATTGAGTTAAGAGGCGATCCACAGAACAGGAGAAAATATTTGCAAGTCACCTATCTGACAAGGTGTTAATACCAAGAATGTGTAGAGAGCTCTTAAAACTCAGTAACAGATGGGGCACCTGGGTGTCTCAGGGCTCACCTGGTTGGGCATCCAACTTCGGCGCAGGTCATGATCTCACAGCTTGTGATTTCAAGCTCCACATTGGGCTCTCTGCTGTCAGCATAGAACCCGCTTGGGATCTTCTGTCCCCTCTCTCTCTGCCCCTCTCCCAGTGGTTTGTTCTCTCCCCACCTCCCCCCTCTCAAAATAAGTAAACTTTAAAAAAATCTCAATAACAGAAAAACAACCTGACTCAAAAATGGGCAAATGACTTGAATAGGCATTTCCCCAAAGAAGATATACGAAAGGCCAATAGGCATGTGAAAAGATGCTTGGCATCACTCATCATCAGGGAAATGATGGCTATTATTAAAAAGAAACAACAGAAAATAGTAAGTGTTGGTAGGAACACAGAGAATTGGAACCTTGGCACACTGTAGGTGAGAATATAAGATGGTACAGTCACTATGGAAGTGTGACAGTCCTCAAAAAATTAAAAATAGAATTACCATATGATCCAGCAATTCCACTTAGAAGTATACACCGAAAAGAACTCAAGGCAGAGTCTCTAAGAGATATTTGTACACGCAGGATCATAGCAGTGCTATGCACAATAGCTAAAGCACAGAAACAACCCAAGTGTCCATCGGCGGGATGAATGGCTAAGCAAACTGTGGTACACACATACAAGAGAGTACTTATTTAGACTTAAAAAGGAAAGAAAGTCTGACACAGTCTACAACATGGGTGAACCTTAAGGCCATTATGCTAAGTGAAATAAGCCAGTCACAAAAAGACAAATACTGTATGAGTCCACTGATATGAACTACTTGGAGAAGACAAAATCATACGATGACAGAATGTAGAACTGTGGTTGGCAGGGGCTAGGGGAGGGGACAGAACGAGGGATTGCTGTTTAATGGGCACAGTGTTTCAGTTTTACAGTTTGTGGTTTTCCAAGGTAAAGAGAGTTCTGGAGATGGGTGGAGGTGATGACTGCATGCCATTATCGATGGATTTAATTAATACCGTCGAACGGCACACCCCAAAATGGCAAAGATGGTAAATTTTACGTTATGTGCATTTGACCATAATACGAAAAAGAGAAAACAGAAATGAAACACTGATACACGGTACACCATGGATGAACCTTGAAAACATTATGCTAAGGGAAATAAGCCAGAATCAAAAGACCGTACGTTGTAAGATGCCATTTATACAAAACGTCCAGGCAAGGCAAGTGTATAGTCAGAAACGTGTGTCATTGCTTAGAGCTGGGGGAGCTGGGAAAGGGTTGGGCGTGACAGCTGCAGGGTACTGGGTATGTGTCTGAGGTGATGAAAGTTTTATAAAATTGACTGTGGTGTTTGCCAGTTGCACGTATCTATGAATGTGCTAGAAACCACTGGACTGTACACTTTAAATTGGTAAGTTGTATGGGAGTTAGTTATATCTAATAAAGTTGTTATTTAAACACACACACAAACAACTATACTGACATACTTCTTACCTATTAGGCAGACAAAAATCCTACAAGCTTGACCACTTTCTCCGCTAGCAGGGCCAGTGGGGAAGGATGTTCTCTTTCACGACACTGAGGGAGATGCGAATGGTACACACCTCACGGAGGGATATTTGGTGGTAAGTTCTGGCAAATTTACACATGCCTTTAGCTCTGACCCCACAGCGCAGCTCCTAGGAATCTATCCCAAAGATGCACTGGCAAAAATCTGAATTGCCTTATGCACAACGTACGTAGTTCCTACAGCATTATTTCTATCAGTATATTTCTAAACCCTGGAAATACCCACAGGTCCACCACTGGGGATCAGGTAGACAGACTGGTATATCAAGCCGCAGAATGTTCCGCATCCACAAAAGAAAGGAGAACGATCTGTACGTATACATGTGAAGTGATCTCCAGGGTAGATTGTATGAGACAGGGATGGGGGCCTGGGGCAGATGTATCTCTGTGTTACTTATCTTTTCAAAAGGAAACACCAGAAGTATAAACAAGAAACTAACACAAATGGTTCTCTATAGGGACAGGGAGGGGACAAAGATGGAAACAAGACTTCCCTGAATGTATCCTGTTAAACCAATCTGACTTTGCAAACATAATGTACCTCATACAAAATGTTAAATCAAAAAGTAAACAGAGCCGTTTCTAAACATCTAAAAATAAATAGAAACAAACGAGCTTAACCGTATATCAAGCTGATGGCATAACCACATAGAGAAAATAATTATTTCAAGTGACTTTAAAAGGCATTATTTTGTCTGTAAGTCCTGAATGGAATGCATTCAGAAGACAAAAAGAGCTGAAAAATAAATAAATAAATAAATAAATAAATAAATAAATAAATAAATAAAATCTCAGGCTTTGACCAAAAATCGAATTGTTTAAGATTTCCACGTAAAAGAAAAGTGACATACAGTGTAAGGTTAAAGGATGTTAAATTTAAATTAGAAATATCACTATGAACTCGTGATTTTTTTTTCTTTACAAAAATAGCTATTTTCTCAAAAACCCCACACATTTTCTGAAAAGGTTTAGAAATAATACCCCAAACTGGCCACTACCTGCACTCATATTGTGGTCTCCAAATATCATTCATCACTGAAAGGAATTAAAACTCCATGGAGAAATTTGCATTCCAGGTCTGGGCAGGAAATACGGTAGATGATTCTAGAGCATCTTATGGTAACTGAAAGCCACTGAAGCACACCAAAATGACCTAAAGGCCAACGTAAGGGGGCTTCCATGAGCCACAGATGGGGACAATTTAAGCATAAAAAATAATGGCTGCAAAGGACTGGCACACATAACATATTCAACAGTCTATGAAGTCCTCATCATCGTCATCGTCATCATCATAATTTTAAAAGCTCAAGTATTGGTCACCTTTGCTGGTTTCTAAGGCAGTAGCTCTTCATTCTGAAAAATGATGAAGGAAAAGAATTAAGCCTTTTCTTTACAGACTGTATTTCAGGGGAACTAAAAGAGTTGATTCGGAAAATTACTCTTTACAAAAGAATTTCAGCTACTCAGTGCATTAAGTAGGACAGAATCGCACCATTTCACAGTCCCTAATGGAGTAACAAATCCAGGCAATAACGTTCAGTGGCTACTGAAGTCATCAGGCGAGAAGGGACGGGGAACTTTAGAAGAGAAGCGTAAGGCTGATGATGACTGGAAAGCAGGCCAGCGGAGCCTCTGTGCTTCCTGACGTGTAGCAGGCAGCACACAGCACCACCTTGGACATAATCTTCCCCGTAACATTCCACCCGAATCTAAATAAGCCTCCTGATCTCCCAGTTTATAGGAAATGCAAAAAACGGAAGAACAATAAATGACACCAAATCCAGAACATGAGAAATAGTGGCATTTAAAAAGGTATATGACGTGGCACACCTGGGTGGCTCAGTTGGCTGTGTTCGACCCTTTTTTTTTTTTTTTAAAGGTTTATTTGTTTTTGAGAGCAAGCATAGGGGCAGGGGGGAGGTTCAAGTTCACGAACTGCGAGATCATGACCTGAGCTGAAGTTGGACACTTCACGGACTGTGTCACCCAGGCGACCCAGTTAAGCGCCTGACTCTTGATTTGGGCTCAGGTCATGATTTCACGGTTTGGGAGATTGAGCCCCGTGTCGGGCACTGTACTGATAGTGCCTGCCTGGGATTCTCTCTCCTTCTCTCTCGGCCCTTCCCAGGCTCTGATGCGCACATGCTCTCTCACTCTCAAAATAAATAAGTAAACTTAAAAAAAAAAAACAAAACTACTAAAAAGATAAATGACGTTAGAAGCTCAAACAAATAAATTACGTTATGGGGGGGGGGCGGTCCATCAACTGAAGAGCGGAGCAACGGAATGTGTCACGTACACCTGTCCGACGAGTGAAGTAGGTAGGTGAGCCTCAAACACAACCTCAGTGAAAGCAGGCAGACACAGAAGGTCACACACAGTAGGATTCCACTTGCGAGAACCATCTAGAAGAGGCAAATCTACAGAGATGGAAAGCAGGTCAGCAGCTGCCTCAGGCTGGGGCACAAGGGGAGGGAAACTCTAACAACTAAGAGGTTTCTCTTTGGTGGACAAGAAAGTTCTAAAAACAGACTGTGATGACAGTCACAAAACTGTGAATGCAGTAAAAACGTCGATGGAGGTGTATATGAATTGTTTGGCAAGTTACCTCATCTCAGTAAAGCTGCTAAGTGGCAGGGGAGGCTTTCCCAGGCTTTTTAACAGATTTTTTATAAACGGAATACAATATGTGGACTTTGGTAGACTAGAATTAGGACCCAGCACCTATAGAAAATATTTTGGCGATGATGGGTGGGGGGGTAATCAGAGCACAGACTAGGGAGGAGATGCTAATCTCTGGGTGTGACAGTGGTATTTTGGTATTTACATTTAGAGAAAGGAAAGAAAGAGACGGATGAAGCCAGCACAACGTGGCAAACTCCTGATGGTTGCTGAATGTGCGCGACTATCACTTGGGGATTCGCTTACTCGTCTCAACTTTCATCTTTTTTTTTCCATTTTATTAAAAACAAAAACAAACAAAAAAAACCTCCCAGAAGATTCTGGCATGCTGTCAACTTTAGGACCACTGTCGTACATCACCCCAGCTGGCCAGGTGAAGTCTGCCCTGGCCGCCCCTCTGAGAGAGCCATCTCCACAAACCGAAGGCAGTACACGACAGGCCTCAGAGCCTCAGGTGACATTGGGGAGCAGAGGTGGGAGGGCAGCAATGTACTGGTGCCATCAGGGTCACTGTCAGGAATAAGCTCCCACTGACACAATGCTCAGCATGTGTACACTTCACTTTGTGTCTGTCATGGGATCCTCAACAATAACCAAGCGCATGACGCCAGCACTGCCGGCCCCTTCATTCAGAAGCAGAAACCATAGGCTCTAAGGTGAAAGCTGCGCCCCTGCCTGTGACCAGGCTGGCCTACGACAGAGTGGGCCCCACTTTGGGTAAAGGGGTCTATGCTTCCTTCCTGGCCTCATAGCATGTCTGGAAATCCTGCCTGCAGATCAGGGCTCTGATTCCGTGTGCCCACCCTCCTCCTCACGCACACTCACCAGGGCTGGGCCTCCTGGGGCGTGCTGCCTCTCTCTCACTCCCCTCCTCGTGGCCCCACAGGCCTTCGGGACAAGGCTTCTCTCCCCTCTCCATCTGGGTTAGGATGTCTGGTTTGGAGATGGCATAATCTGCATATAGAATGGAAGGAAAGCTGGATCAGGACTGGACGCCTGCCACCCGGCTGCCCACAGAGATGGAGAGACATGGAGAAGAACAGAAGTCAAAGCAAAGACAGACTGCCCTGCCAGAGACCAATCTGTGGGTGCAGACCCAGATCCCCACCGACGCAGCCTTACCCAGGGACACCAGCATCTCATAGTTGCCCCTCATCACGTGCTTGTACAGCTCCTTCTGCCACTCGTCCAGCTTGCCCCACTCCAGCTCAGAAAAATACACGGCCACGTCATCAAAGGTCAGGGGCACCTGGAACCACAAGCATCACGTGCGCTCACCCACACACTTACAGGCACACCCATCGGGCGGTCCCACCCCCAGGTGCCCGAGGGATACCTTGGGGACTTCCCCCTTGCTGCTCGGCGGCAGGCGCAGGATCCAGAAGTTTCTGTTTCTCAGTAGGTTCTCCATGTTCTCCAGCCGCCTCTGCACCAGCCCGTACTCCTGCAGCAGCGTCCCCAGCACGGCCCACTTGCCCTCCATGTGGTTCCCGAACTCCACGGCCGTCTTCTCACAGTCGGCCAGCTTCTTCTCGGCCGTCCCCGTCCGCCCCTCCAGATTCAGCAAGCGGGCCAAACAGGAGTCCACCTTCTTCTCCAAGGCCTGGATGGCAGCCACCACAGTCCACAGTGTGATCTCCGTGGAGTATAGGTATGAGTTCTTCTCAGCAGCTGGCTGGGGTGACAAAGAAGGTGTCGAAGGACTTTCGTCCCCTGTTTGCTTGTCCTTCTCTGGAGCCTGTCCACATGAGAAAGGGGATATGGTATCACAATTATACAATCATACACAATTATATGCTTGGATGGTGCATATAACTCTTAAGAGTCTAATTCTTGATTTCAGCTCAGGTCATGATCTCACAGTTCATGGGATCGAGCCCTACTTAGGACTGTGCACTGACAGTGAGACCCTGCTTAGGATTCTCTCTCTCCCTCTCTCTCTCTGCCCTTCCCCTGCATGTGCACGCATTTTCTCCCATAAAATAAACATGAAAAAATATGATACAATCCAAATGCGTATTTCAGAAAGAAGCCTCACAATGACACTTGCCCTGATAAAGCCCATCAGGGATCTTGAGGGCCAGGCAGCAGTGGGGGATGAGAGGCACAGACATAAGTTAGGAGTGTCGACTCAGGGTCAGGAAACACTGGCTGGACCAAGGTGTTAGCAAGCGGAAAACAGGAGGAAAAACATGGCCAACGACAGAAAGAATCTGTGGTCTCAGGTGACTCCCACCTGGGGTCTTAGTCTCCTCTTCTGCCAGTGAAGGGACAGGCTTTAAAGCACAGAAGACATGAGGTGTGCAGAGAGCCTGGGTGCAATTGGCGACTCCTCCCACTCGCAAGCTGGCTGACTTTAGGCAAGGTTTTTACACATCTTTCAACTTCACTTCCACGTCCAGAAAATGGAACAGTAATAGTGCCCACATGGTAGGATTGTGAGAATTAAGGACACAATCTTTGTTGAAAGCACCTGGTGCAATGTCCAGTATGTGTTAAATACTCAATACGTGTGAACCCTCTGTTGATTTGATTCAGTTAAGATGATAATGATAAGGATGCTGACAACGACGATGATGATAATGATGGTGATGATGACAACGATGATAATCTGGCTCTGGGACACAGCATGAAACAGTTTGCATGAGCTTTTTTCCTCCACCTCTTTCATTTCATCATCCTTCGGCACCTTGGAAAGTTTCTCAAGTGCCTTAGCTCAGTGCCTGGTGCACAAGCCTCCCTGGAGCATGTGCCATGGCCCGGTCCCAGGACACGCTGCTAAAAGCCTTGTTGGAAGGATGAACTGACTCCTTACTCCTCCGTTTCACTCATCCTTCACGGTCAAGCCACCATCAAGTCCTCTCTCCATCTGGCTTCCAAAATGATCTCAAATCCATCCTCTTCTCCCTATCTCCACTGCTATCACCTAGCCCAAGCTGCTGCAATGCTGTCTGATTTTCCCCACTTCACCTTCTCCTCCTCAATACACTTTCCAGAGTAGTCAGGAAGCTTTAAAAAACACAGGCTAGGGGATGCCTGGGTGGCTCAGTCACTTAAGCATCCCGCTTCAGCTCAGGTCATGATCTCCTTGTTCGTGGGTTCGAGGCCCGTATCAGGCTCTGTGCTGACACCTACCTCAGAGCCTGGAGCCTGTCTTCAGATTCTGTATCCCCTCTCTCTCTGACCCTCTCCTGCTCACGCTCTCTCAAAAATAAATAAAACATTAAAAAAACAAAAAAAACACAGGCTATGGGCCCCTCGGTGGCTCAGTAGGTTAAGCCTCCGACTTCGACTCAGGCCATGAATTTGTGGTTTGTGAGTTCGAGCCCCGCATCGGGCTCTGTGCTAATAGCTCAGAACCTGGAGCCTGCTTCGGATTCTGTGTCTCCCTCTCTCTGTTCCTTCCCTGCTCGCACTCTCTATCTCTCGCTCTCTCTCAAAAATAAAAAAAAAAAAAAAACAGGCTAGACCATTGTAGTCCCCTGCTCAAAACTCTTCAACAGCTTCCCAGTGTACTTAGAATAGAATCTAAACTTCTCAGACCTCAGCGTGCCTCTCTGACCTTGTTTATTTACTATACTCTGGCCACCCCAGTCTCTTTGGATTCCTAGGACACACACCCTTCCTCCATGTCTGCTTTAGCTCTCCCTGCACCTCTCTGCGTCTGGCTTCCTCTCATATTTAAGGCCCAAAGCCTCCTAGAGACCTTCACTGACTAACACATCTAAAAGAGGCCCCCGCGAGTCCCTTCTTTCCCAGCACTAACAATCCATGATGATTCTATGCATCTATCTGCCTGTGGTATGGTTTGTTTCCACCAGAACATGGGTTCCCGAGAGTGTGTTTGCGATTTCCAGGTGTATTTCTGGCTTTTTAAAAAATTTTTTAATGTTTTATTTATTTCTGAGAGATTGAGAGAGAGAGAGAGAGAGAGAGAGAAAGCGTGAGCAGGGAAGATCAGGGTGAGACACACACACAGAATCTGAAGCAGGCTCCAGGATCTGAGCTAGCTGTCAGCACAGAGCCACACACGGGCCCAAACCCACGGACCGTGAGATCATGACCTGAGCTGAAGTCCGACGCTTAACCGATTGAGCCACCCAGGCGCCCCAGTATTTCTGGCTTCTAAAAGAGTGCCTCTCTCACTGCAGATGCTCAGGTGGGAATGCAGAAAAAATGATGTGGTTCTTCCTTCTCCAGGAGAAAACTTCTGTACGGAAACAGCCATGACAAACAACAGGCTATGATGGGCTAACAATAGTTGGGGCGCAAATCTGTCCTGTTTGGGCAGTTTCTCAGGAGTCTCAGGTACTGTAAGACCGCAGAGGGAAAGGAGTGAATGGTTAGGAATGGCCAGAAAAAGTTCTGAGGGAATGGGGCGGGGGTGGGGGGAGCGGTGCCAGAACCACTGTAGTTACAAAAACGCCTTGGGGGGGACTCCCTCCCCGCCGGGGGGGGGGGGGGGGGGGGGGGGGGGGGGGGGGGGAAGGGCCACAAGCCACAGAACTCCCACCCTCCTTCTCTCCCCTGAACTCTGGGAAGCACACATCGAACTCATTAAAGAGGGAGAGGGAGAGGGTAAGTTCCTCCTTTAAAAGGATCCACAAACATCAAAGTTTCAAAAAGTTCACGGAGATGCATTAATAATAGTAGAAGCTATTTACTGAGCTCTGTTTGCAAGTGATTTTCCTGCTGTGTCAAAAAGAGCCACAGGATTCTTGTGAGCAGACTGCACATTATCGGCCAAGATTCTAAAAGAATCCAAATAATCTAATCCAACATGCTATTCGTGGGGGGGGGGCGGAGGGGGGACTACCTACAATCCCTCAAGTGAACAGCGTTCAATACCTGTCTCTTAGGTAAAAGTAGAGCACTGGGTACCTCCCAGGGGGTGTCATTCCAAAGTCCTGGCCCAGACGTCGGGCCGCGGCCTCGACTAGGTGAGTGACCTTGGGCCGGTCTCTTCCCTCAGACTCTGTCCTCCGTGCGTGTCTCCGGGGAGACAATGGACGGGGGGACAGCCACTCCGTTCTAATGCGAGGCCTGTCATCTGAAGTGTTACTAGCAAGCCCGGCCTGTCCCCCGCCGTCGGGGCCGCCGGGCCGGCGCCCGCTGCCCCGCCTGCCCGTTTGGGCCGCCCTGCCGGTGCGCCCGAAAGCCCGGCCCGGACGCCAGCTGGGGTCGGCGGGGCGGACCGGGCGGGCGCGGGCCCTGGCGGAGGCGGCGGGCCGGGAGGCCGCGCCGCGGGGCCGCCCCACGCCGGCCCGGCCGAGACCCTCGCGGGCCCTCGCGGCGGCGGCCCGTCTGGGCGTCTGCGCGCCGGGGCGCTTACCCGGGCGGGCGCCGCTTCGGCCATGGCTGCTCGCGTCCCTCTGTCGGCGGCTCTCCTCGCCCGGGCCTGTCGGGCCTGGCTCTGCGCGCAGGCGGCGGCGGAGGCGGAGCGGAGCCGCCCAGCCTCGGAGCTCCTGCCGGGCGGCCGCGAGCTGCGTCCGAGCCACGTGCCCCGCCGGCCCTTTAAACAAGAGCTGCGCTCGCGGCCGGGCCCGAGGGTGCGCACAGCGCCCCCTGCAGCCCGAAGGACCGCACGCCCGCGGCCCGCGGCCTTTAGCGCGCGCCCGCCGGCCCTCGCGGCCGCGGGGGTCACCCGGGGGAGGGCGGCCGCCCACCCCGGCCTGGGCCGCGGGAATGGACGCGTGCGGCGGACCCGCCGCGGGCCCCTCCGGCCCGGCTCCAGCCGCGAGGGGGCGCGACCCGAGGGCCGCGGGCAGGAGCAGCTCTGTGGATCCGGCCCGGCCCCTAACCCCCCTCTAGGACGCTGGGGCCCCAGCGTCCCACTTGGGAGAATCGGATCAGGTTGCTAATGAAACACGCTTTCAAGACTCTAAGAAAATGTGGGAGTTTCCCTTTGTGTGGGGGAGGCAGGGCAGTGCTCAGAGGGGATTTACCATTTTAACACCTCTAATGGACTTAAGTTTGGGTATACCCTTTTCGCCCAGCGGCAGGGTAGGGTGGGACAGATAACTACTTGCTTCGTTTTCCAGAACAAATAGACCTCAGGAAAAATTTATTTCATTTAAAAAAAAAAAAAAAGAAAAAGAAAGGCAATAGCTCCCCCTCCCTTCCCCAAACCCCCTCTGGTAATCCTGGGTCTCCTCCTCCTTCCCTGGGGCTGCTTCCCCAGCAGCTCTGGCTTGCTTTGCAGAGGTCTCTGGAGCCTTCTATGCCACGCCCAGTCTTCACTTGCCCATCAGCCACCAACTGGGGATCTTCTGTAGCTTTGACTCCGCGCTGGGTGTGCAGCCAGAGTAAATCCAACGCTATTTCAGGCCCTGACACATCTTGAATAAACAACTCAATCCGGGACCCATTTTCCTCATCTCATTAACCACTGAATATAAAGTAAAACATACTTATGCAGTTTAAAGGTTTTTTTTCTGTATTTCCCATTCATCTCTAGTTTTTGTTCAAGTCAGAAAACCGTTCCCACTAGAAATTACGCTGCAGTTTTCTTTCTTTTTTTAGTATTTCCTGTTTTTGGAGGGAGGAGAGAAAATTATTTGTCCATATACTTGATCCAAGCAAAAGTGTGGTCAACTGACACAGTAAAGAAACGGATACTTTCTCCAAGTAAGGTGCACCCCTACAATTTAGGGCAAGGTTAGGAGGCGTTTTATTATTTTTTAAGACGTGTTCTTTTTTAAATGTTTATTTATTTTGAAAGAGAGCACAAGAGGGGGAGGGACAGAGAGAGAGAGAGAGAGAGAGACAGTCTAAAGCAGCTCCAGGCTCCCATCTGTCAGCACAGAGCCCAATGCAGGGCTCCACCCCATGAACCGTGAGATTATGACCTGAGCCAAAGTTGGACGCTTTACCAACTGAGCCACCCAAGCGCTACAGGAAGTGTTATTTTAATAAGAGATCAAATCAATATATGGCATCATTCATTGTGCAAATCTTTGTGGAAATAACCCAACCTAATAACTTGCAAATGTGTGCTGAAAACATTAAAGCATCCTTAGCAGCTCAGCAGGGGTTGGTCAGACAAATGTATGAAAGATTACAAAATCCTGGTTAAGTTGTGATCTTATAAAATAAGAATTAATGTCCAAGGCAAAGAGAAAGAGTCTGGAAAATGAATTGGAGTGGAAGAAAACATCAGTATTGAACAAGCTCTGTTCAGGGAAGAGTGCTCTAATTTTTGACAGCTGTCTTAGATTTTTGGAAAGTTTCTGGAAGTCAGTGATAGCCTTCAGCGTGCATCATGCTCCACTGCTGTGCTTGTTAAAACGCAGACTGCTGGGCACCCGTCTCAGTGTCCAAGTCTGAGGCCGGGTGGGGGTGGAGGTGGCCAGAATCTGCCTTTCTAATCAGGTCCCCGGTGGTGCGGACTCTACTGACGTGATCACACTGTAGAACCACTGCCTTGTCTATCAGGTTCCCACAGCTGCCTCCCAATCCCATGCTCTGATTTTATAAATATACTAAACAAAAGGCACAGAAACTTTACACCATGATGTGGTTTACTGAGCAAACCAGTATGGTGTAGCGCTTTTTTTTTTTAAGTTTATTTTTTATTTACTTAATTTTGACAGAGGCAGAGAAAGAGAAAGGGAGAGAGAGACTTGCAAGCACGCTCCACGCTGTCAGCGCAGAGCCCAACATGGCACTCAAACCCACAAACCATGACATGACCTGAGCCGAAATAGTCTGCTTAACCCACTGAGCCACCCAGGTGCCGCCTGTACAGTTCTAATATGTTAGTTACCTGCATCCTTAATTATTAATGTCTCTGCCAAGGTGCAGGTCATTCTGCAACAGCGTGTCATCAGGCCTCTCCTACAGAAGGTGTTGTCATCCGAGGTTGAGACCCACTAAAACACCACCTAAGGTCACTAAGAGTGGGGTCAAGATACTCAAGTGCTAGCGCTCTATCAGGACAGTCTCAGAAAAAGAATTCCTGTGTGCCCCCCCCACCATTTCCAGGCACGTAACTTAGATTAGGAAGTGGACCCACCCAGAATTATAAAGCATTAAGAAGGGACGTCTTAGGGTGCTTGGGTGGCTCAGTCGGTTAAGCGTCCGACTTCGGCTCAGATCATGATCTCACAGTCTGTGGGTTCAAGCCCCGTGTCGGGCTCTGTGCTGACAGCTCAGAGCCTGGAGCCTACTTCAGATTCTGTGTCTCCCTCTCTCTGTCCGTCTCCTGCTCACACTCTCTCTCTCAAAAATAAACATTAAAAATTAAAAAAAAAAAAAAAGTCAGGGACATCTTAGCAGAGGGAGACCAGGAGAGCCTTCCCTAATTTAGACAATACTGAGCTCCCTATTCTGGGAATACCCCTTATACATGTTCACTCAACAAATGTGGTGAGCACGTACGTGCAGAGCCCTGGGACCCAGAGCTGTGGAGTCTGGTCCCTGTCTTCAAAAAGCATCACATCCTGTTGACTCTACCTTGGTGATCTTGACCATGCATCTTGTCTGTCCTTTCTTCCCACTGCAGCTGTCCCCAGTCAGGTCTTCATCGGCTCTTGTTGGTCTCAGAAACTTTCTAACATATCCCCCTATCCCCAACCAAAACCAAAACCCCAGCCCCCATGATGTGACTCTCATTACATCAATATTTGCAAATCAGAGCTAGAATCAGGTCACCTTTTTACTCAAACGCTGAGCTCTCCATTGCTAAGTCAATAAAATCCAAACTCCTTAGCCTGACCGCAGCCTATCTTTCCACCCACATCCCCACTATTTCTCTTCTCACATCCCACCTCCAGCCAAATCGAATGAATTGGTGTTTCTTTGTACTTGCCCCATAACGTCTCCTTTTTTGCTTATGTTGCTCCACCAAGAATGTTCTTCCCATCTTTTTTTTTAGTTTATATATTTATTTTGATAGACTGAGCAGGTAAGGGCAGAGAGAGAGAGAGAGAGAGAGAGAGAGAGAGAGAGAGATCCAAGCAGGCTCCACACTGTCAGCATGGAGCCTGACATGTGGCTCAAATTCACAAACTGTGACATCATGACCTGAGCTGAAACCAAGAGTCGGATGCTCAACCAATTGAGCCACCCAGGCGCCCCGTCCTTCTTCCCATCCTTCAAGGTCCAGTTCAAATGTCACCTCTCATGCTGCCTGGGTGGCTCAGGTCATGATCTTGTGATTTGTGAGTTCAAGCCCCAAGTTGGGTTCTGTGCTGACAGAGTGGAGCCAGGAGCCTGCTTTGGATCCTGTGTCTCCCTCTCTCTCTGCCCCTTCTCCGCTCGCACTCATCATCTCTCTCTCAAAAATAAACATTTAAAAAAAAAAAAGGCCACCTCTCATAAAGCCTTCCCCAACCCCCAATTAAATGCAATCGTTCTCTGAATTTTTAAGTAGGCTTCACACCCAGTGCGGGGCCCAACTTAGGGACTGAACTCAGGACCCCTAGATCTAGACCTGGGCCAAAGATCAAGAATCAGATGCTTAACCGATTTAAGAATTCTTTGAATTGTTATAGATAGACCTTCAGCCTCACTTGGGACATATAGTTTTGTTTTTTACCTTGTACTAGATTCCCTTAACAACGTGTAAGCCCAAGAGCAAGATCTCTTTCTAATCTAACTGTGTATACTGCTTCAGACCTTGCACATGGAGGCTACTCAGATACTTGGGAGTGGACACTCTCAGGCAGAATGGAACCTTGCACTAGTCTGCGAAAAGGTTATGCAAACAGGCAGCACAGGGAGGAGACAGATTTTGAGAGACTCTGAACTCGACCAGAGCAAAGATCTCTGTTTTCTACACTTATATGTCCCAAGTATTCAAAAGTGCCTCGGGGTGCCTGGGTGGCTCAGTTGGCTTCAGCTCAGGTCATGATCTTGCAGTTCACAGGTTCGGGCCTCACTTCAGGCTCTGTGCTGACAGCTCGGAGCCTGGAAACTGCTCCGGGTTCTGCATCTCCCTCTCTCTCTGCCCCTTGCCCGTTCACATTTCTCTCTCGCGCTCTCTCTCAAAAATAAATAAACACTAAAAATTTTAAATAATATAAAGTGCCTAGATGACAGGTGCGATATATATATAGATTTGTTGAATAAAACACACGAGGGAAGCTTTCACACAAGGGGGCTTGTTATACACTGAGCAGGAAGAGAAATAGTATTTGGTTCACAAAGAAGGGAATTCCTGGAAAATGGAAGGCCTGGCTTACTCGCTCAATGGCAGGAAGCCCAACGTGGCAGCAGCACAGATAGTTTGGGGATGAAAAGGGAAGAAACTCGGAGCAGGTTAGGTTGTCAAAGCCTGTGCTTTACTAGTCTTGGAGGAAAGCCCATCTCTGATTCGGGCGCCAGGACAAGGGCTCTAGCATAAAGGACGTGGTTAAGGGCAGAACAGCTGTTAGGCTACTGGACGGTGTAGGTGGCCAACAATCAGGACCCTAACCCATGGGAACAGGAGAAGGTAGGACACATTAGAGTCACTCATGTTTGGCATTTAACTCTTCCTTACCTGTTGATTTAAAAAAAATTTTTAATTTTTTTTAATGTTTTATTTTTTTCTGAGAGCGAGCGAGCAGGGGAGGGTCAGAGAGAGAAGGAGACACAGAATCCAAAACAGGCTCCAGACTCTGAGCTGTCAGCACAGAGCCCGATGCGGGGCTCGAACCCACAAACCGTTGAGATCATGACCTGAGCCGAAGTCGGACGCTTAACCAGCTGAGCCCCCCAGGTGCCCCTAAAATTTTCTAACTCAATCATCTTTGTCCTTTAGACAGCTCTGTGTCCTGTTTCCTCCTCAGCATCCAGCAGAGCAGGCAAAAGGCTGGTATTCTGTATCATTCAAGAAGGCGCCTCTGTGTACAGCGACGGCCCTGGTAATCTTGTTAAAACCTGCAGACTCTGCTCCAGTGGGTCTGAGTCTGCATTTCTACAAAGCTCTCTGGGGATGCCGGTGCTGCTGGCGCAGAGCCCACGCTTTAGGCAACAAGGACGCAAAACCCAGCCTGGACCCGAGGTGCTTGATTATGGCCACCCAGAAGCACCCAGGATCAAGTGTGTGGGCTCCGAAGCGGGACAGCCTGGGTTCCCAGTGACCTCCGCCTGTTACTCAGCTCTCAGAATGCTTCCCACATCTCTATGTGCAAAATGGGGTAAAATCGTACCCACCACATGGGTTTGTGTGAGGACCAAGTTCATTTTTAAAAGAATGCCCCGCACATGGTGCTCGGCAATTACTACAGTAGTCCACACGCCTGTCCATCACTCTCCTGCCTCAGGGAACACTTCCGCTGCCAGGGAACCGGAATCCTACCCTGTACTTTTTCTCCCCACAGTGCACGACAGAGCCTGGTCACACGAGGACACCCCACTGGCAGGTAAGGGTAATCAAGGATGGGATGTAGGGAAATCCTGATGCAAAAAGCCTGGAGGCAGGAGCCAGGAAGGAACTTAGGAGAGCAACACCAGAGGTGTCCCTACATGTGACGAAGCTGAACGCCTCAGCTGACCATGGCGCCTGCCCTTCCCTCCACGCTCAGTTTCTTCGCCAAGTCAGGCCCACTACCTTACAGCGAGCTGCGTTTATTTGCGTGTTTTATTTATTCCTTTTTATGCCCACATCCCACTCACTGCTCCCAAGGGCAACTGTAATACCTTTAAGGTGTAACTTTGGCGTTCTAGGTGTTCTTACAAAATGCTGTCATTGATCTCACCCAGTTCCTTACATGTTCCCAGGCGGCACCGTAGGTTTCAGACCAATCACCCACATGGCCACATGCGTGTCCGGGCCGATGTTCCTAACCTCTCCCCAGGACTCCCTGAGAGCATACCTTACCTGCCCTCTCTTCCTCCCATCTTCCGACCAATACCCAGACTGTCTGCGGCCCTCGACCACCATAACAGGGCCCCACGAACATCCTCATGCACGCCCTCCTCTTGTCCGGCCTAGAGACTGAAGTAAAAGTGCAGGTCAGGCTGTGACTATAGGCCTCTGTCACTGATCCAGGTCAGCCACCTCCTCCATCTCCTCCATCTTTTTTTGTGTTTTGAGAGACAGAGAGCAAGCAAAAGTGTAGAGAGAGAGAGAGAGGGAGACAGAATCCCAAGTGAGGCTTGAACTCACGATCCATGAGATCATAACCTGAGATGAAGTCATCAGTCAGATGCTTAACTGACTGAGCCACCCTAGCGCCCCTCCATCTCAGTATTCTTGACAAAGGGCGAAAAATATCCAACGTGAGTTTGTTTTTTTTTTTTGCTAGTAGCAAGTTTTATTCTAGGCAACTGCAAATCATCAAAGGGGACACTCACATAGGACCCAGATGCCCACTCCCATCTCCCCAAACAACAGTGAGGCAAGCATTCAACACTTCCGAGAAGTAAGCATCTTTGTGCTTTTTCTCCACCATCTCTGGAAGTCGATCTCAGAACTAATTTGGAAAACGTGTCATCTACACAGTCTCAAGAAACAACTGGTGTAGTAAGAACAAACTCCACTACCCACTGGAACGAGTCGGACAACCGTAAGTCACGAAGTAGTCTTCTACCCTGGGTGGCTGCAGAACCCAGCAAGGACCAGGTGGGAAGAGGAAGAAGATTCTGGTGAGAAACCGGGATTTGCGAGCAGCAGGGTGCTCTTGGCTCCACTAGGGACTCTTTGTTCTCAGCAGGGGTTTGGGAGTCTGCCCCTGCCCTCTCCTCCTCTGGATTCAGTGAGCCCCTTGTGAGACTGCCAAGGACCCCCATGGAGGGGGCCCTGCACCCTGCCCCCTGACCTCTGGCCTAACAAAGTGTGGGGGGGGCTAGGAGAGCCCCATAAACAAATCCCTCCTAGAGGGTAGGCCCAGTCCCCATATTAGGAACAACCTCTACAATGCTGGAAATTTAGAAAACAAGGTCAGACTGTATTTTTTTTTTTAATCAACTAAAATCTAATTCCAAAAAAGTTTCTTCAGAACAGGGTAAGCTGTCATTTAAATTATTTCCTCTACTTGTTATTAACAAAGAGACTACAAAAGAGGAAAGAGAGGGTTCTATGCTTCCCAGAATGCTTTCACACACCTGCTCGCTCCACTGACCTGACCCGACCTCATGGGAAGACCTGAGATGCTGGGCCAGACCCTGGCAGCAGCCACTGGTCCTCACAGGGTCAGAGAGCCAACCCCAGCCCACGAGAGTCAGCCCGGATGAGAAAACCAGAGACGTGAAGGTGCCGGAGACAGCAAGCTTCACAGCAGGGGAGGGGCTGCAGGGCGAGGCTCGGCCCCCACCTCCTCTTCCACAGTTTTCAGAACGGTGTCTGGGCTCGGCCTGGGGCTTGGCCGAGGGAAGGCAAATCAGCGTGACTCCCCTCGGAAAAAAATCCATCCCTGACTCTGCACAGGGTCTCTTCGGGGGGACCAGTGCCAGCCCCTTCGCCCCCCCGCCAGATGAGGGGCCGGCACCCCTAAAGCAGGCCATTGGGCCTTCCGGGCTCCAGGGCAAGCCCGCCCCGCTCCCGCTGGTGGATCTTCTGGTGCTGCAGAAGGTGCTGCTTCTGGACGAAGCTCTTCTCACACTCCGAGCAGCTGTAGGGCCGCTCGCCCGTGTGGATGCGCTGGTGCCGCACCAGGTCAGACGGGTGGCTGAAGCTCTTGCCGCAGTAACCACAGAGGAGGGAGCTCCGGCTCTTCCTCCAGGGGATGTGGCCAGGCAGGGCGACCAGGCTGTTGGGCGAGAACCTCTCCTGGACGGAGTGGCCGGCGCTGGGCCCGTCCTGCAGGTGGCAGCGCTGGTGGATCACCAGGCTCACCCTGCAGCTGAAGCTCCGCATGCACACGTCACACTGGTGCAGCCTGGCCCTCTTGGACTGCGGCTTAAGTCGGGGCCGGGGTCTAAGGCTCTCCTCCGGCTCCGAGGCCGCGCCCGACTCCGAGTGGGTGTGCAGATGCGCGGCCAGCTGCTGCTTGTAGCGGAAGCTGATCCCACACTGGGAACACTCATAGGGGCCGGAGGCATCCCTTTTCAGCTTTATGCCCTGGCCGCACTCTGGACCCAGCTGCACCTGCCTACCAGGCTCCTGCTTCGGGGGGCAGCCCAGAGCGCTGCTGCCACCAGCGTCTCTACTGGCCTGGATGGGGTCCTCCAGATTAGTGTCCCCAGGGCCCGAATCCAAGAAGACAGAACTACCCTGACCACCCCAGAGTTCAGTATGCTCCGGGCTTAGGAAAGCGTGCTCTTCCGCAATGCCTGAGAATTCTCCGGGAAGATCCGCAGAGCTTTCCTGAGTGTACTGTATCTCCTGCTTGATCATAACCCCTTCGGCTGCCGAGAGAGAGAAAGATCAACAAAAAAGATCACACTCTAGTACCTTCGGTTTCTTCAGAACTACACAAACATCTATGAATTTCAGAAGGACTCAAATCAAAGCACCCTGGGATCATGGGAATTAGGACAGTTTGGAGGAGAAGGAGACCGGGTTCTAAGACCTGGAAACCTAAACCTATGTTCATGAAGGGAAATCTGAATACTACCTTTCTAGAACAATGTTATGATAGTTCTCTAAACTCGTCCACAAGTTTGTATTCAATTCCTATGAAAAATGGCAAAATGTACTATAACTATACTAATTCAAGAATGTTAAAATAATGTGAATGATTTAAAAAAATGCTTAAACCTAAAGCCCAAGTATTCACACACCTAGCTTCCGTCTTCCTGCACGTTCGCTCCAAATTACTTGGCTTATAAAAGCGCTGCCTGTCTCTCAGCTAACTCAGCCTCACTCCTTTTTTTTTTTTTTTTAACATTTTATTTATTTCTAGGAGAGAGAGAGAGACAGCGTGAGCAGGGGAGGGTCAGAGAGAGAGGGAGTCACAGACTGAAACAGGCTCCAGGCTCTGAGCTGGCAGTCAGCACAGAGCCCGACGCGGGGCTCGAACCCACGAACCATGAGATCATGACCCAAGCGAAAGTCGGACGCTTAACCGACTAAGCCACCCAGGCGCCCCTAACTCAGCCTCACTCCTAACATCCGACCAACTCTATCCTCAATCTCCAGTGGATTTTAACTAGAACTATCATGTACTCCGCTCTGTAGAGCAGAGCAGGCATGAGGTAGGATATGGTCACGAAACTTAAGACCTCCACAGCGGTAAGGAGTTAAGACGCACATACATCAGGCAAACTCATGAAAATCGTAAAGGAATCTAAAAGAAGTCATAGCAGATGAGGCTGCTGACGGTGCTTGGCAGCTTAGCACTGGGAGAGCTCACTGTAGGCCACAGGGAGTAGGGAGAGGGTCAGACTCTTCTGCTTCCACTCACCTGGGTGCACATCACCAGGTCCTTCGTCCTCCAGGTGGCCCAGCACCCCGCTACCCAAGTCCGCTGCTTCTTCTGGAGGGCCAAGAACCTCTGGGTTGGAAGAGGCGGAGAGTGAGCCCAGCAGGGAGTAAAGCTCCCTGAGCACCAGTCAGGTGCCAATAAGCAAGGTGACCAGTGCCAGAGGGTTGACGTTAAAAGCTGAAAAGATTAAAGGGCTACTGTTCTTGCCACTTTGCCCTGGCAGTTGGGGACAACTGGAAGACGAGAGCCGATTCGAAACATCGATTCAGTCTGCTGCCACCTCCCACGCTCCCTCATTAGTCACTGTGGCTCAAGTGTTCCAGCTGTGGGGCCCGCTCCCCTTCCCCCCCACCCTGCCCTCACTTGTACAGGGTTTCAAGTGCTGCTTCCTTTCAGGGTATCTAATTTCAACCCGCTGACACACAGCAAGGTAAGACAGGCACCAATATCCCCAGCCAGGGCGGACGAGGGGACTGCCACCGGAACACAGAACTCGGCCGAGGTCAAGCAGTCCCCTCTCCGGCCCATTTGCTACTTCCCTCTCTGCTCCAGTCACACTGGCCTTTTTTTTTTTTTTTTTTTTTTTAATGTTTATTTATTTTTGAGAAAGAGAGAGCATGAGCAAGTGGGGGAGGGGAGGAGAGAGAGGAAGCTGGGATCTGAAGCGGGCTCTGCGAGGAAAGCAGAGAGCCGGATGCAAGGCTGAAACTCATGAACCGTGAGCTCACGACCCGAGCCAAAGTTGGATGCTTTCTGACTAAGCCACCCAGGCGCCCCTCACACTGGCCTTTCTGACATTCCTCCATGGAACTCAGCTTTTTTTTTTTTTAATGTTTGTTTATTTTTGAGAGAGAGAGAGAGAGCGAGCTAGTGGGGGAGGAGCAGAGAGACAGACACTCATGTAACATTCTTTTTTTTTTTTTTCTCTAAATGTTTATTTTTGAGAGAGAGAGCGTGAAGCGAGGTGGAGCAGAGAGAGGGAGGAAGACAGAGGATCCAAAGCAGGCTCTGGACTGACAGCAGAGCCCCGGATGTGGGACTCCAACTCACCAGCCGTGAGATCATGACCTGAGCTGAAGTTGGGCGCTTAACAGACTGAGCCACCCAGCCACCTCCATGGGCCTCAGTTTTAAAAGATTTTGTCTATCAAAATCTCCTTACTAAGTACTAATCTGCACTTATATAAAAGTACAAGCTAGGGGCGCCCAGGTGGCTTAGTTGGTTAAGCGTCCGACTTTCACTCAGGTCATGATCTCGCGGTTCGTGGGTTCGAGCCCCGCGTCGGGCTCTGTGCTGACTGCCAGCTCAGAGCCTGGAGCCTGTTTCAGAGTCTGTCACTCCCTCTCTCTCTGACCCTCCCCTGCTCACGCTGTCTCTCTCTCTCCTAGAAATAAATAAAACATTAAAAAAATATATTAAAAAAATAAAAATAAAAGTACAATCTAGTATTTATATGTAAAAATACGTATCTATTAAGCAGCACTTCTAATTAACACAAAATAGACACTGAACTCACAGTGACTGAATGTAATTCCAGCCAAATGCCAAGAAAATGTTTTGGTTAGACTGTGCTGCCTGCCTCATCTCAGGTAACAAAGGACTTCTTGTCAAACAGTTTAAGTTTTCAAAACAGCATGAGGAACCCTGGCCACACTACACTAGAAGGCAGACGACATCTTACCTACTGGTAAATGCTGTCAAGAACTATGTGACCACAGAGAAGAAGTACAAAATCCACAACAGCAAGACCTTTCCAAGTCTTCGTGAACTGAGGACCTGGAGGTTCCCATGTCTCAACCCGGCCCAGATCAACAGGGAAGCCAAGGCCGCCTGGCATCACAGGTGTGGTCTGAGTCACAGCTCCCTGGCCAGGGACGTAAGAGGGCTGAGGAAGAACGCCAGGGAGGACTGCTACTTACTCAGAGAGACCAGGGCCTCTTAGTTGCTCTTCATCACGTTTCGGTAGAGCTCCTTCTGCCAGTCCTCCAGGTTCTCCCACTCCTGCTCTGAGAAACACCCTCCGTCATTTTCAAGTGACCTGGGCACCTGAAATCACAAACACGGCACAGTGAGCGCCACCAGCCACAGCTTCGAAGGAGAAGCCAGCAAGTTCAGAATCCTGAATAATGAAAGGCTGGGCTCCCCATCTGGTCTAACTCTTAATCCTCACGGGGACTACCTTGGGGGCCTCCCCCTTGCTGTCAGGCGGCAGCCGCAGCACCCAGAAGTTTCTGTTTCTCAGCAGGTTCTCCATGTTCTCCAGCCGCCTCTGCAGCAGCCCGTACTCCTGCAGCAGCGTCTCCAGCACGGCCCACTTGCCATCCAGCTGGTTGCCGAACTCCACAGCCGTCTTCTCGCAGTCAGTCAGCTTCTTCTCAGCCGTCCCGGTCCGCCCCTCCAGGCTCTGTATCCGGATGGCCTGGGCCTCCATCTTCCTCTCCACGGCCTGAAGGGCGGCCACCACTGTCCAGAGTGAGATCTCTGTGGTCTGCAAATAGGAGCTTTTCTCTGTCTCTTGCGGGGGCAATGTGGACGAAGTCAAAGGAGTGGAGTGGCGTTTCCTCCTGTGCTGAAGAATCAGACACAGGGTCAGTGTCATTTCCAAACATCACGGAAAAAAAAACAATGGGTCCAGGGGGTCCAAGAGTGTTTAGAGCTACCTAGTTTCTACTTTTTTTTTTAAAAAAAGCACGCTCTGGGACGCCTGGGTGGCTCAGCTGGTTAAGCGTCCGACTTTGGCTCAGGTCATGATCTCACGGTTCGTAGGTTTGAGCCCTGCATCAAGCTCTGTGCTGGCAGCTCAGAGCCTGGAGGCTGCTTCTGATTCTGTGTCTCCCTCTCTCTCTGACCCTCTCCTGCTCAAGCTGTCTCTCTCTCTCTCTCTCAGAAATAAATAAAAGCATTAAAAAAATTTTTTTTTAAAAAGCATGCTCTTTATATTCTGATGCTGCAAATGATACATATAGGTTGTAATAAGGAAATACTGAAAAGTAGAGAGAAAAAAACTATGCAAAATATCACCATCCAGAAGTAAGCTGTTAGAATTTTGGTGTACTTCTGTAAGGTTTTTTTTAATGTTTATTTTTCAGAGAGACAGACAGACAGACAGTGGGGGCGGGGGGGGGAGTGTGTAGAGAGGGAGACAGAACCTGAAGCCGGCAGGGCTCGAACTCACAAGCCTTGAGATTATGACCTAAGCCAATGTCAGACGCTCAACCGACTGAGCCACCAGGCGCCCCTGTAAGGTTTTGTTTTGTTTTTTTTATCTTTTACCTTATCTATTTTTCCACAAAGTTGAAATCATATTGTACATAGTGTTTTGTTACCTGCTTTTCATTCTTAGCATATTCTTTAAGACCAACAAAGACACAATTCCTCAGTAGGACCCAAAGGACTCAACTGCTCCTAGCACAGTGAGTAACACCTAAACGTTTACTGATGCGATGTGACAAAGTCTACTGACATTCGCCTTAACACTTCTCATTTTTACAATCTGTCCCTGACAACAGGAAAATCAGTACAGCTGAAGCGCAACGTGACTGAAACCAACATCTGGGAAGTCTTCCCACAACTTGCTCTCACCCCGTGGGACTACCGCGTATTCATCTCAGTCTGAAACCCCCAGAGGTTCATGCTCTTTTATTGGGCATCCGCTTTGTTCAAGGCTGCTTCTCCATCCACAAGGACTACACTGAGACCAAGACACGGAGAGGAAGGATCTTGGAAAGAACAGCCGGGGCCAGGACTTCGGGTCTGGAGAAACAGGGCCCAAAACTGAAAACATAAGCTTGGCCATGACCTACTGCAGTGACTCAACTCGGTTCATTATGGAACATGTGGGTTAAAGCTGAACTATCGCCTCTAAAAAATATTTAAATAAAAGTTTATGGTAAAAGATGGATACAAATGAAACAACACACAACACTAGGCTGTTGGACAGACTCATTTCAGCACAGGTTCTGCTTTTCACTTTCAGTCGCTCCGGCTTGCGTAGCCTGGCCTTTCTGAGCCCAGCGGCCTGCTGAGCACCTCTAGCAGACAGGAAGGTGGGCCAGCATCTGAGCAAAGGGGTAATTCCTCTCCTCTTGCACAGAACAAAAGGCTGAAAGGAGTGGTTAAATCAAGCTGCTACTTCTAATTTGAATGATCTGTTGAGATGGAAACAATTCAAATGTCCACGGACTGGTTAATCAATAACCAAACCAGGGTCCATTCTTATGTTACTGGTTGAATTTTGTTTCCCCAAAAAGATATGTTGCCGTCCCAACCACCAGTACCTCAGAATGTGATCTTATCTGTGTAACTTTTTTTTTTTAAAGATTTTATTATTTTAAGTAATCTCTACACCTAATATGGGGCTCGAACTCTCAACAGCGAGATCAAGAGTCTTGTGCTCCATCAACCGAGTCATCCAGGCACCCCGGACTGTAATCTTATTTGGAGATTTTACAGAGATAATCAAGGTAAATGAGGTCATTAGATGGGCTCTAACCAAGTATGACTGGGCATCCTTATAAAAGGGGAAATCTGGGCAGAGACAGACGTGCACTTAGGGGGGAAGATGTGAAGACACACACAGGGAGAAGACAGCCACGTGATGGTGGAGGCAGAGGTCAGAGTTCCGTTGCCACAAGCCAAGAAAATGATGGGGGCATCAGAAGCAATAAGAGAAGCCTGGAATATCTGATTTCTCCAACTCGGTAGACACCTTGATTTCAGATTTCCAGCCTCCAGAACCGTGAAGACAATACACCTCTGGTGTTTAAGCCCCCAACTTGCAGTACTTTGTTACAGCAGCTTTAGGAAACTAATATACCAAACAATAGAGTACTATCACATGATTAATATATTAATAATTAACTTGTTAATTCTACATTAGCAATAAAAAGGAACATACTATTGACACACATAACAACATGGATGGATCTCAAAATCATTATGCTAAGTGAATGAAGCCAGACACAAAATGCCACCCACTCTATTCCGTTTACGTGACATTCAGGAAAGGCAAAACAACAAAGACAGAAAGCAGATGAGTGGTTGCCAGAGGCTGGGATGGGGGGCGGAGGGGCCGGGAGGGTGAGGGGGTTGAGGGGAGAATGAGAGTGAATGCAAAGGAACACTTTCTGGGATGATGGAAATATTCTATATTTTGGTAACATGATGATGGCTACACATGTGTCAAAACTCACTGAACTGTGTGCCTGACGAGTGACTTTTACTGGATGTACTGTGTCTCCCTAAGCACGACCCAGAACCCCAAGGCAGAAGAAAATGTTAGCTGCCATGAAAGCCTCCATAAACAAAGTCTGAAAAAACAAGCAGGGAGAGAATATATGTAAACAGGCTATGAAGTGGAAAGAAAAGATAACAACCCCAAAATAAAACTGCAAACTAAGCAATTCGGAGAGAAGAAACGTGAGTGGTCAAGAAGCACTCAGGACGGTAAATATAACCAAGTGAAACCGCTCTTCACCCACCAGGCTGACAAACTTGAAAAAGAGGGATAAGGAACTACATTCAGAGCTGACTAGGATAGAAAACTGGCACTTTCATAATACTCCCAGAAGGAATGAAAGCTACTGCAAACTTTAGGGAAGAATTATCTCATGAAAGTCACTCAAAACCCTCTCCCCTAGCAATCCCAGTTACAAGAATCCATCCTACAAAAACAAACAGCATTATTTACTGACATCCATACAAAGATTACTGGTAACACTCTTTGGAACAGTCAAAGCCTGGAAATAATCTAGATGTCTGTTCATGAAGGAATGCTTAAACACATTATGGCACAACCAAACACGACTTTTAAAAATAATGAGTTAGATGCATGTGTATCGTTCTGAAGAGTTTTCATCATATACTGCTAGTTAAAAATCCAACTTTTAGGAAAATATATTTATTATTTTTTATTGTTTATTTTTGAAAGAGAGTGTGAGCAGGGGAGGAGCAGAGAGAGGAGGGACAGAGGAGCTGAAGTGGGCTCTGTGCTGAGAGCTGAGAGTTCAATGCAGGGATCAAACTCACGAACCACGAGATCATGACCTGAACCTGAGTTGGAGGCTGAACCACACAGGCTCCCTAGGAAATATATTTATTATGATCCCACTTTCCTAAAGAAGAGAAGATATACAAGTTTGTGTTTGTTTCAGCATACAGAGAGGTCTGGAAATACACTCAATAAATTGTTAACACGACTTACCTTCAGAGACATGAGTGGGAGGGATTTTAATCTTTCTTTGTCAACTATTGTTTATTTGACTTCGTCAATAAACATGTGGGGTTTATTCTGTAATTTGTTTTTTTACATAAATTCCATATGTAAGAGTAGTCCTGATGGCAGTGAAAAATGCAGAAAGTACACTTATTGGGTTGCTGTCGGATAGGCATCTGACCGGCTCAAGTTATGATCTTGCATTCATGAGTTCGAGCCCCAGGTTGGGCTCTCTGCTAACAGCTCAGAGCCTGGAAGCCACTTTGGATTGTGTCTCCCTCTCTCCCTGCCTCTTCCCCTGCTCGCACTCTCTCACTCTCTCTCAAAAATAAACAAACATTAAAAAAAAATTTTTTTAAGTACTCTTATGTTGCTCATACTTCTGGATACTCCAGGACAGTTCTGCTTGAGTGTTCTATTATACTGAGATCAAGACTCACACGATGGGACTGCAGCTATGGTCTGAAACCTGTCACCATTAAGTATAAGACACAGTCCTTCTTGCTAAGAAATCTGCAATCTGCTTGAGTGAAATACAAAACAATTAAATACCATCCTAAATCCTTTGATTAAAGTGGACTAAGTAATGTTTAAGGTCACTTCCAACTCTAGATACCATGGGTTTTTTTTGTTGTTGTTGTTGTTTTAAATGTTTTATTTATTTCTAGGAGAGAGAGAGGGAGACAGCGTGAGCAGGGGAGGGTCAGAGAGAGAGGGAGTCACAGACTGAAACAGGCTCCAGGCTCTGAGCTGGCAGTCAGCACAGAGCCCGACGCGGGGCCCGAACCCCCAAACCGCGAGATCATGACCTGAGCGAAAGTCGGACGCTTAACCGACTAAGCCACCCAGGCGCCCCGATACCATGGTTTTTTAATACTGAATAGTTTAAATACTTAATTCATAAGATGTATGAGGTAGTGGCAACAAATCTCCATGTAACTACCACTCAGTTATAGATCTATAGCCTTTGAAGTCCTCTGTAGGACTCTCTGAAGTACTATCCTGAATTTGATTTTTCACTATTTTCTTTTTCATGTTTTCACCAAATGTTTGTTTCCAAAACAATGTATTTTCTTTAGTTTCACAAATTTTAGGACTTTATGTAAGTAGAATCCTTATTTCACAACTCCTAAGAATATCCTGTTTTTGCAGACATCACTTTCACTTCTATAGAATATTCTACTGTGTGGGGCGCCTGGGTGGCTTAGTCGGTTAAGTGTCCAACTTTCGCTTAGGTCATGATCTCGCGGTTTGTGGGTTCGAGCCCCGTGTCGGGCTCTGTGCTGACAGCCAGCTCAGAGCCTGGAGCCTGTTTCAGTCTGTGACTCCCTCTCCTGCTCACACTGTCTCTCTCT